GGACTGCGTGTTATCATTCTTGACTTTCTGCTCCAGTTTTTAGTGGTTGGCGGCCGCGAAGCAGCCACAGGCCCCTAGTTCACTTATTAAATGTAGTCTGTGTTTGTTTTTCAGGGTACATGCTGTGAAGCTGTACCTCATATTTTTTTCAGCGACCTTCGCTTGTTCGAGGATATGAAAGTCGTTCAAGAACTATTACATCTCAAGGAGGGTACAGGAGTCTTTACAAGACCGTGTTCGAGGAAATCAAGTCCAGGACTCTCGGTCAATTCCGATAACTGCCCACACGTGTTTTCATAACCCTGATCCCGAAAGTTTTCGTCGGAGATATTGCCTCCGCTCGGAGATGAGACTCTCAAAAGTTCTCAGTAAGGTGGGTCGTAATTATTGGCCGCATCTGTGCGGTACTCGAGAAGTTTTCGTCCTCAATATTAGAGACGTTAAAGATTACCGCTTTGTTTTGTAATTCGTCTCGAAGAATCCTCTCTGTGTAGATTTATTGTTGCTTAAAAAATACAAGAGTCATCCAGGGAGTAAGTTTGCCTTTTCAATATCTTTTGAATTAATTGTGAGATAGATACAGAAAATCTGTGAAATATTTTGAATAGCCACTAATCTCAGCTTTTCAACGCGGTATAGATTTTTAAATGTTATGTAGCCAGGGTCGGACTGGCTCGCAACTGAGGGCGTAGACCCTTGGCTGGTTAAGGGGGCGCAATGTAATATTTAATGGTAGGGCATCTCCTACGTGGAGAAGGGTTCAGACAATTTTGGCAAAGCAGCACACAAATTTACGCTATTTTCAGGTTCAAAGTTTATTGATCGTACGGAGTAAAAATTGCAAAATTGAACGTATTGAAGTATCCGACAGACTTCTGAAATTAAAGAAAACATAAAAAATTAAAGCCACCAGACGCATCCGAGCACCGTTATTTCCAAAAGAACCGAGCCTGTGCTGCGGTTTACACGAGCTTAAGACGTGGGTCTGCAAAACCATCCCAAAGAGAATCAGACAAGAACCTGAAAAAAGAAGAAAGAACGAGTATCAACACAGTCAAAGACAGGGAAGACGTATTCGGGCCTCTTTTTTAACTATTCTCCCGAATCTGAGCAACACCTCATTGACAGCATATAGCTGCGGAGCATTGAGAGCTCACGCTTCGCGTCATCGCGCCTTCAATTTTTCAGATGCAGCACGGACGTCCATTAAGTACGAATAGTTGTATCTCTGCGCCGTCGTAAACGCGCATCCTTTCCCTCGCTTTATTTCCGTATTGTGTTTGTTTGCGTTTGTCTTATTCGAAAAAGTGCTTCAAGCACTACGTGAGTGACACAGTCGGAGGTAGGAGAGATGTGTTCGGTCCTCTTTTTTAAGTTTTCTCCCGAATCTGAGCGACACCTCACGGAAAGCATATAGCAGAGCATTGAGAGCTCACGCTTCGCGTTATCGCGCCTTCAATTTCTCAGATGCAGCGCGGACGTCCATCAAGTACGAATAGTTGTATCTGTATCACTGCGCCGTTGTTAACGCGCATCCTTTCCCTCGCTTTATTTCCATATTGAGTTTGTTTGTGTTTGTCTTATTCGTAATGGTGCTTCAAGCACTACGCGAGTAACATAGCCGAGGGTAAGAGAGATTTGTTAGGGCCTTTTTTTTAACTATTTTCTCCCGAATCTGAGCGACACCTCATTGACAGCACATAGCAGAGCGTTGAGAGCTCAAATTTCCTTTGAATAAACACGAATTCCCCAGTAAACTTATGAATATTTACCGCCCAATTTTTCAGACATTTTTGTTCGCAATTTCAGCTAAAGTTTCTCAAAATTTCAAGGAAAAATATCCATAGCTTTCCTCAAAAATAAACATTTTATCGAAGAAAATTTAACAACTATCGAATGTTTATACGGCATTTTTCCTTAGCACGGCAGTTTGGGTATTGTTGTGCGTATTTCTTTCCTCACTTCACCGATACGCCAAAACCGAAAGGAGAGCTGACCCTATCCAGAGTCGCAGACGAGGAGAAACCTAACTGAAGCTTCCAGCGTGAGGGANGGGGGGGGGGGGGGGGGGGGCTGGTTAGCGGTACTGTACCGCTAACTAGTCCACCACACGGCACCGGAGCGGAGTTACCAGGAAGTGGCATGAGGCATGAGGCATCGCGGGCTCAGGCTCGTCTCATCAGGTCAACGGCCTCCTTCCTCTGTCGCCGCCGCCAACGCCGCGCGCCGCATCGTATCGCGTCCAAAAAACCTAACTCCCACCATGACCTACGCCCGGATCCGTGGTTTTTGCTCAACGGGGCAGTCAGCAGTCAGCGCGATGAGCCTCCTTCCAGCACCAATGTTTTCTAAACACCGCGAAGAGCAGCAGCCCCCCTCCCCCCAACTCGAAGTTCGGAGTCGCGCGCGCTTGATAGCGCTACGGCGCGCACTTTCTTAATTGATCACGGCCGGACCAGCTTCCCAAATTGTGAGTAGATCGGTTTCCTACGAAAGTGAATTTCGCGTACGGCTAATGAGCCATCGAGGCTCTACTATCCATGGCTAATACTATCCATTTTAAGCGAAAAATTTCCTGCGATGATTCACGCTGACAGCGAGTCGCGATCGCATATTCTCTCAAGGTCATTCCGCCGGCCATAAAAAAGCATGTGTTCTTACTTGTTGGATGCCATGTGAACCTTTGCTAATTTTTAACTGTCTCGTTCATAGTAAAATTCGTTGATTTTTTAATGCGTTTTGATTGCCTACTGAGGTTAAATCCATCTATATTAGACTCCCCCCCCCAGTCCGCCTCCTCCAGGGGTCCTTCCGCTACATCTGAAGGTCTTACATGCTACTATACTAGCCCTAAGAAGGTGGATTACATTTGATAGGGGCTAGTATAGGGCCCACCTTTTTAGGGCTAGTATAGTAGCATGTAAGACCTTCAGATGTAGCGGAAGGACCTCTAGAGGAGGCGGAGGGGGGGGGGTTCAAAGGCAAAACCTTTCACGGCTTCTGACTTTTGAACGGATCAACGTAATGAATTGAACTTTTTTAAAATGAAATATATCATAAGGATCTGCCTGTTACGAAAAGTAAAATAAAATCTACTTGAGCCAAATTCATAGCAATTTTTCGATTTTTTAGGGACCAACATTTACATTTCGCCACGTTTCAGCAGTGCGCAATGGCTCTAGCAACACAAAACTAATTTTTTAGATTGTATGCTCAATTTCTTGTTAGACCTAGCGAACCGCATCTTGGGGGGATATGTCAATGTTAAACCCAGAATTTACACGGTGTCAAAATTGCCGCGTTCGTCTTTTTCACGCTTGAGGCACTCGCGTTATGACCTTCAAGTTAAGGGCCAAATTTTAGAGTGCTCTCAGGAGCATAAGTCGCGAGTTTTATGCGCTCCTTCCAGACATTTTCCCGTTCTTTTTGGTTCCCGTAAGATCACCATGGCGAAAAAGCTCGAAAGTTAACTTTACATCTTGTACTGGAGGCCTTAATTTCCCATTACACCAATGTAATTTTTGCTGTGAACTCAAAGGCTCTTTTACGCCTTTTTTATGATCAATTTTCTAAACTATTTTCACTTCGGTGTTTGCTGACTGCGTGCGGTGTTTATTGGAGCAAGAAGGAACGAGAGGGGCGCTAAGACCAATCTTAAGATGCGATTATTTTAGCGGCTTGGAAGACAAGGCGCATGAGTGCAGTTTCTCCTATTTCAAGCTGTGCGAGTTTGAAGTTTCAGAAATACACGGAGCCTCATGGCGGAAAGGAAGTTTAAACTCACTATTTGATGCATTAACGTTGGATTTTAATTCGGAATTTTTCACAGATCATATTTTCAAACTAGATTTAATCGAGTTTATGAATATCTCAACTTTTTCAAAAACTACACTTATGCGCCTTGCCCTTCAAGCTCCTCAATTGGTTTGTGATTTCGCTTGGACAACACTTTACAACATGGAACTAGTAATTCTGGCTCAATCATAAAAGCATTCATCTGAGTAGGAATTATCTAAGCAAGCAAACCTTTGCAAGAGGAGCGTGGAGCTTAAAAATATTGACTGAAATAGATGTCATGCTCGAGGAAAAGTGTTGACACTCGTGCCTGGGTACCCTATCGCCACAGCTGTGGACGGATCTGAGATTTCGCCCGCAAAATCGAGCATATGCAACCCGGCCCACCATGGAGTTAAAATAGTTGCATGTTGGGTTCGAACCCAACTTCGAGTAATCTTCTATTGTTTTACGTTTCGCGCGTTCATCAAATCCCTAGATTAAGTTTTTGATGGAAAGAAAGACTAGGATAGTACATAATCCGCTCCACCAGGAAATGACGAGAGCCTAAAATATCAGTTCCTTGTCGGAAAATGTGGTCCAACTGTTCAATCTTCTTCTCATTCTCATGCCTCGAGTTAGGTTTGCTTTCAGTTTTTTTGCGGAATTGCATTGCCTCAAACTTTTCCTGATGATTCTCACCAGGGACACAAATCTCTGGCAGATGGGCCGAGGAGCGACACCGAGGGTCGGACCCCTAGCTAGTAAGGTTGACCTATATTATTAATACAACTTCAATCTAAATTTTTCAGTCTAATTCGGCATTTTTCTGGAGAATTGAATCGTCAGTCGACATTTATCGTTTGTCACTTACAATCGGTTGCAGTATGTAATCGAACAATCAAAAAACTCCTTGAACACTTACATGTCTTTTTATTGTGTAGCATAAATTGTATGTTTATTAATTGAAGGCGTTTTACTTATTTTGACCAAATTAAAACCTGAAAGTAATACAGTCACGAAAATTAAGAAAACATGTTCACCCTCACTTTCCGAGCCAAATGCATCATTATAAACGTTACTTACCTTGAAATCTCATTATTTTATTTTATAGAAATAGAATAGATTTTTTTTTAACACTTTTGATTTACGAGACAGTGCGCCATGCATGCCGTTCGTGAATAGCATTGTTTACATAAAATTTTTAGGTTATGTCATTTCGCTCTTATAGTTCTAAATGTTCTAAGCATGAGAGCGTCTAATAAGCTGTCTCAAAAACTTGATTAATCAATTAAAATTATTATTATTTTCTTTTTGCAAGAGCTGTTTAATCGGCCATAATGGATTGTATCAATCTTAATTTTCCAACGTTACTTTGTTAATATGTTTTGTGCTTTCGAAGATCTGACTGTTCAACCCAAACCTGTTGTTTATCTGCCTGGTTTTTCAAGCTTTACACCCTAGTGAGATATCTCATTCATTCGGTAACTATGTAGAAATAATGTATCCATGTTTTTCACTCAACTTCAAATTTTATGAGAACTGTGGTTGGTTTTTCTCGCTGTTCAGGTCTTGCTTGCAGGTTTCCCAACCAATATTCGCATCAAAGTTTTGTGACTTAGATTTTAATCAATTACTTCCTGAAGAACACAAAATTCCTCATTTTGCTGGTGAAGATTTCAAAATCTTAATCTCTCAACTAACATCAGGAACGGAAGTACTCTGCACAATTTGGCGATTAATGTCAAAGCTGCCGTAAATATTAACAGAGTCCTAAAACTCTCGGGAAGACTGGGAAACCACCCAAATCAACATGAAAGACCCCGTTTCAGTGGAAAGAACTTTTCATCTCCTTGCGCATTTGAAGGGCATAAAATGCAATATTCAATCCATACTTTTCACTTCTTCGCATAGTCTCTGAGCACTTGATCATGAAACGATTTGCAGTCAGGGAGTACCTTTTACCTTTTCACTAAACTCGCTGAAAATGAGAGAAAGTTGAGAAAGCAAATTGTAGGCTCCTTAACAAGACAGGAGGAATACTTCCAAACCATGTATCTCGCCTGCGGTATTGAAAAATCTCCGCTCCCATCTTGCTTTTTTGAAGAATAACAAATCAATACCATTCCTTCAAGATTTTACCAAATTTTCCTTGTGCAGAGAGGGAAAATGACGGAAGTTTTAAAAAATTGCTGTTGAGTCGTTTTCGATCTAAAAAATGAAGTATGGATGGAAGTCTGGAATGCTGGATATGGAGACACTTGGTTTGAGAGTCTCAGTGTGGATTTATACTCTTTCCACAATTTCCTGGCAAGAATGATGAGAAGGGTGACCCATCTTTGTTTTGCAAGCTTCTCTCTAAAGCGATCTAAAGACATAGAATAACAGCCGCCAGAAGGGCAGCAGTTGGCTATCTTTGTTCCGATTCTTGAAATCCTCGCGACCTCTGCTCAGCCTACCGTTTCAAATTTTGCAGGGAAAAAGAGCGAAGTCTGCCGCTCTCACCCTACGTCTCTCTGCCGTTTCAAATTTTGCTGGGAAATTGAGCAAAGTCCGTTCGAAACGCGATCTTACGAGAGGATCTGCTAGTTGCCTTTCTGGTAGCTATTATTCTATGCTTAAGAGGATAGGGATCTTGCATACTTATTCCAGTTGTGATACTTGGTCAAATTTGTCGTAGTTAATAGCACGTAACTTTGTTTCAGAACTGAAAGCGGGTATCAAGTCATTACCAAAATCATTGTCATAGTTGATGTGTGATGATGGATGAACCAAAACAAGAAGCTAAAGAGGAGCCAATGGAGGAGGATGAAGGGAGGATAGGCTTGGAATCACCGTTCACCCACTTGGAGGATGAAAAAGATGATTACACATTCGAAGGGAAAGAGGAAGAAGAAGAAGAAGAACCATTAACCCCTAACAAGGATAATGTCACCGAATTTGATGTATTGGATCAAACCTCAGATGAAGACAGTCACTATGATTCCATGAGTTTTGACTCAGATCTTCCTGACGACGAAATTGAAGCTATGTTAGAAGAAGGTGAGTGTAATCTGCTTTTGAAAATTGTGGAAAAACTAGAGATCCATGCTCAGATTCAAACCTTTCAATGACACTTTGGCTGTCTCCAATGGGGCAGTGGCACGGTTTATGGTTTATGCAGGGTTTTTGCACAGCTATACTGTAGTAAAATTTCATGAAAAACCAACGAATTCCTCTTTAAGTTCCAAAAAGCATGTTCAAAGGGAGAAAAAGCCAATCAAAACATCTGACTAGTCAAAAGTCAACAGCCAAATTGTAGTAACAAGCTACACTCTACTACAGGTATGGGCAAATGGAATTTTAAAAAGCTGTCGAAATGTGTAGATTTGTCAGCGTCCAATGTTACGACTGCAACGCCATATGAAAAATTAATTACTTTCTGTTCTGAGAGTGGGTCTTGCCAATTTTGTACTATTTTTTCCTATTCTTAGCTAAGTTTTTCGTTATTTTAAGTTTTATCAATTTTTAAATTCATCTGATAGCTTATGGAAGCTACCAGATCTGCCAGAACCTCATTTTGAACTGCACAGCAAAGACGGTACGACTTGAGACGTCATTCGATGGCCTATATTCTCATAGCTGCCACTTCGGCACTTTGTTTGTCCATACCTGTAGTAGAGTGTACCTTGCTGTAGCAAGGTGATGCCTGAAGCTGAACTTAGCCGATCGGCAAATGCAGTTTATGTAGTTACATCATCAAAGCCCACCAAAGAGTTTGCTTTGAATAGGTCCCATTTTTGGCATTTTTGAAATAAATTTTTCCGTGCCTTTTAGAGTAAAAAAAAAATCAGGAAAATCCATGGAAACATCAAAGGAAACGAGTCTACTGAGTTTTAGTGAAGGTAATATTTCAGTGAGTTTCAACATGAATGATTTCTTCAAGTTGATTTATTTTTTGGAGTCTTAGGAGTCCTTAGTTTGCACCACTGAGTCATAGATTAGAGAGAAACTCCTCTGCAAAGTAACTCTGCTTTTGAAACTAAACTTTAGGAATGATAAGTAGCTTAATTGTGAGCAGTCGAGGTCGTTTTGGTCATAATTATGCCTAGAAATACCTGAAGCTGCCCTGTAGCAAACTGAACTAATTATGAGGACTGTTGAAAGTTGCAAGGAAGTAAACCTACTCACAATATTAAGAGAAAAGAAAGATATCATTCAACTGTCACTGAAAATTCCAGTGGTGATTGTTTTATTGAATTGTGGAAACTTTATCAATCATAATTTCTTATTTTCTGGCAGCTCTCAAGGATGAAGAAGAAGAAGGAGAAGGCGGTGACGCGTCCTTGCAAGAAGGCTGCCCAATGAAACGTATGAAGAAGGAAAACTCTACAGAGGGTGAAGGCACAGACAAAACTGGAGAGAAGAAAGATGCTGCAGCTGACGATGGAACGGAACCTACAGAAGAAAGTGAGATACTGAAAAAGATCGAAAACTCAGAAGACATGCGGCAAATTGACAAGGTAGTGCTTGAGGATTTAGGCAGAAGCAACCATTTTGACTTTTTACCGGAAGGTTGGGTCGAAGTCAGCCACCACAGTGGCATGCCTATATACCTCCACAAACAAAGCCGAGTTGTCACTATGTCAAAGCCTTACTTCCTTGGACCTGCAAGTGCCAGAGTAAGTAAAATTGCAAGATGAGGTAATTCTGTTTTACTGGGTTTTTCTCTTGTTTTTGCATTTACAAAGCACTGATGAGCAATTTAAAAAATAAATAGTTGATTATTTCAGTCCAATAACTCAGTTTTGAGAGAGTTATAATAGAGAAATAGAATTTTCAGCATCCCTCCAAGTTCTAAAATAGCTGCTAAAACAAGGTAAGCTTCCGTCTTAGACATGATATTTTTGCTCATTTATCTAAGATCATTTCAACTTTGAAATCCTCCATCAAGATTTTTCTCCAAGACAGCATAGATGATTCCCTTGCATACATATATAGTATATCTTACAATACAAGACGTCTCTAAAGAGGTATCTAGCCATTATTTTTTTCTCTCCAGAGGGAACTCTCGTTTATAGCTTTTGCTGCCAAAAGTGATGGCTGACAACCACTACCAAGTGATCTGCTCGGGCTTTATAAAAGTTGCAGCACTAGAATATTGAATGCCTTCTAACAGAATGGGCCTTGTGGATTCAGTCCATCGTGAAAAAATAAACTAAGCTCGACATGTGACTCATCTTATTTGCGACTTTTTGTGGCCATGGACTGATAGCAGTTTCAGCTTACAGTCTTTATCTTCTTTTTTATTTCTCTAATTATTTTGTAAATTTCTCCTCTTAAATGGTATGGAGATGCAGGTGTTTTTAGTAGTTGTCTACAATTTCAGTGTAGCCTTAAATTACTTTACAAATGACTGATAAAACTACTAACGTATCCGTATATCACACCCATGATTAAATTATAATTTTCGTATTTTAGTTGCTTGCTTCTCATACACGGTGCCCCTGAACTCACTTTAAATGCGACTTTGTTGTACATCAAAAATTCAAGTTGGAGGTTGTAGTGAGGTACCCCCTGATGGGTTTTTGGGCAATTTCGAAATAGGTTGTCGGAGCTCCTCGAAAAATAATCGCATTTTAGTGGTTTTTTAGGGGTAAAATAGCAAAATTGGCCTCGGGGCGACAAATTAAACCCCCTCTCCCTCATCCTTGCTTTGACCGATCTGAATTTTTAGTATGTTTGTACCTGGTATAAGATGGGACTTTTCTGAAATTTTCATGCCCATACAATTTTTTTTGCTCCCGCGGCAGCGTTGCCAAGTTGCGGACTCCAAAATATCGAATTTAATGATAAAATGAAGGTTTCGGAGTGTGATTTCCATTCAAAATCAAAAATTCAAATTGTAAGTTGTAGTAGGGTACTGCCTGATGGGGTTTTGGCCAATTTCGAAGTAGAGTGTTTGAGATTTTTGAAAAATAATCGAATTTTTGCGGTTTTTTAAGGGTAAAATAGCACACTGAGCACGGGGCGGCAAGTTGAACCTTTTCTCTCTCATCCTTGCCGTGACCGATCTGAACTTTTAGTATGTATTAACCTGGTATAAGATGTGACTTTTCTGAAATTTTCATGCCCATACAAAATTTTTTGCCCCCCGCGGCAGCGTTGCCAATTTGCGGACTCAAAAATATCGAATTTGATGATAAAATGAAGGTTTCGAGGTGTGATTTCCTCCAAAATTTCACGAAAAATGTGCAATCTGAGAGTTTTCGATAAGAAAAGGCATATTTGAACAATTTAGAGTTGCAGTGTTGCCAGCTTTTGATTTAAAATTCGTCAAAATGACCCAAATCGCGTTGCAACCTCGAGCGCTGGATTTTTATTTCGTTCAGAATTGGTTATTACGGTTCTTCTGTACTCTATGCATTTAGGTACCATGAAAATTATGCCATTACTTACTTGATGGGTGCAGCTAACTCAAAAAGAGAGGCCGGATAAAGCGATGAGTCGGGGGAAAACGAGCGGTTCGGGTTGACAGAAAGTTCTTAAATCTACTCCATCACCAGAAAGTAGAATTTGAGAACTTTCTCCCACCCCCCAAACCTTATCCCTGTTGCAGTCAATCCTTTGAACATCTGATCTGAAATTTTGCCCCCGAATTTTTACCAAAAACATGAAAAATAAAAACACGTTTTTGTGCAAAAACACATCATGTTTTTGGTAAAAATTCGGGGGCAAAATTTCAGATCAGATGTTCAAAGGATTGACTGCAACAGGGATAAGGTTTGGGGGGTGGGAGAAAGTTCTCAAATTCTACTTTCTGGTGATGGAGTAGATTTAAGAACTTTCTGTCAACCCGAACCGCTCGTTTTCCCCCGACTCATCGCTTTATCCGGCCTCTCTTTTTGAGTTAGCTGCACCCATCAAGTAAGTAATGGCATAATTTTCATGGTACCTAAATGCATAGAGTACAGAAGAACCGTAATAACCAATTCTGAACGAAATAAAAATCCAGCGCTCGAGGTTGCAACGCGATTTGGGTCATTTTGACGAATTTTAAATCAAAAGCTGGCAACACTGCAACTCTAAATTGTTCAAATATGCCTTTTCTTATCGAAAACTCTCAGATTGCACATTTTTCGTGAAATTTTGGAGGAAATCACACCTCGAAACCTTCATTTTATCATCAAATTCGATATTTTTGAGTCCGCAAATTGGCAACGCTGCCGCGGGGGGCAAAAAATTTTGTATGGGCATGAAAATTTCAGAAAAGTCACATCTTATACCAGGTTAATACATACTAAAAGTTCAGATCGGTCACGGCAAGGATGAGAGAGAAAAGGTTCAACTTGCCGCCCCGTGCTCAGTGTGCTATTTTACCCTTAAAAAACCGCAAAAATTCGATTATTTTTCAAAAATCTCAAACACTCTACTTCGAAATTGGCCAAAACCCCATCAGGCAGTACCCTACTACAACTTACAATTTGAATTTTTGATTTTGAATGGAAATCACACTCCGAAACCTTCATTTTATCATTAAATTCGATATTTTGGAGTCCGCAACTTGGCAACGCTGCCGCGGGAGCAAAAAAAATTGTATGGGCATGAAAATTTCAGAAAAGTCCCATCTTATACCAGGTAAAAACATACTAAAAATTCAGATCGGTCAAAGCAAGGATGAGGGAGAGGGGGTTTAATTTGTCGCCCCGAGGCCAATTTTGCTATTTTACCCCTAAAAAACCATTAAAATGCGATTATTTTTCGAGGAGCTCCGACAACCTATTTCGAAATTGCCCAAAAACCCATCAGGGGGTACCTCACTACAACCTCCAACTTAAATTTTTGATGTACAACAAAGTCGCATTTAAAGTGAGTTCAGGGGCACCGTGCATAGTTTTACTCTGTACTCCCACATTTTCTCAATGTCATTCTCATAAAGAAATTCGGTTTTTAACACATTTTGTTTGTATTTTCACAGTGGCACAAAATTCCAATCAGCGCCATTCCTTGTCTACAGTACAGCAAACTTCTGGAAGAAAAAGCGAAGCAAGAAGATGATAATTTAGTAATCAATGGTCTGGTTGTTCCTAATCCCAAAATTGAAACAGTTCAAGAAAATCAGAAAGCGCAGCTGCTCCCTGCAGAAGCTGTCCGAGAATATTGTTCTAAGCTTTTCAGGTTTAAAACGATTAAAGTCAGTTGGTTTAGGTGAGTTCACTTTTTTTTCTACTTGCTTGTGATTTTGGTGCATATAAATTATCTTAGAAGTTTATTTCACCAAAAAAAGTCATCTTTCCCCATTTCTTAAAACCCTCTCACTGGACAACATGAATGAGAGAGTCTATTTGGTAGGTGTCAAAACCAAACATGTGCATTACGTAATAAACCATAGAATATAGGCTTTCTTATGGAGCTCAAGGCTCATTAAGGAACGGACTTGTCAGGATTCTGTTATGATGTGCACTGATTTACCAGAATTAGCCCAACTGCATTCCAGGTTGCCCGATGTTTACTCAAGTTTTAATTTTTTTTTTCTCTCTTTCTTAATTTATTTATTTTTATAAGGAAACTAAGTAACATAATACTCCCAAATTTTTCTGATTTACTGTAAAAAATATGTTCAAAGAAGGCAAAATTACCCGTGTCTCCCTTCCCCACTGAACATTAACCAACTTTGAGCAAATACGTTATTTCTTACAATAAGTTATGCTCTGTTCTTACAATAAGTATGCGCTTCTAGGATGCACTAAAAATTTAAGTGCCAGATCAATTTAAACTTGCTTTGATGCCAGTTTTTCCATCTTTTTTTCTTATTTTGTAAATTTTTTCAATCAAGAAAAAATGTTAAGGGCTGCTTTTCGTAATAAAACAAAAACCTGTTTATTTTAGTTTTTGCACAATTCCATATGTACCTATTTTGCTTATTCTGCATCCTCTCAGAAAGACTGAACAAATGAGAGAAATTTAAGGAGAGAGTAATGAGACAAGCAAGCAAATTCTGAGGAAAGAAAATAATTTACTCTCAAGAAATGTCAAGGATTTTATGCATATTTTCGTATTTTTTTTGTATCAATTGAAAGTGTCGAAGATATCTGGTAAAAAATTTTGTAGGATTAAAAGTTTCAATAATTTGTATTTTTTTTTTCTTCTTTTTCTCCAGAACTTGGGAAAATAGGAGGAAGTACATAAAAACCAAGAAAAAACTGCTTCAGAAGAAACAGACTGAAATTCCTACTTTACCAAGTGGAACCAAACTCATCACATTACCATTTTTCACCGGGAGTAAGCATTTGATTTTTTTTGCTTTAATGGTTGAATATTCGTACAATCAAGCTTCAGCAATTTAAATTAAGTTCAAACAATTTGAATCATCAGCAGGAAATAGAGAGCTACAGTGATGTTCATCCTAATTTTTAATTCATACTGAGACACTCAGTGAGACTCAGTATGGTATGAAACCACTAGCCAACAAACAAGTGGAATTTGAAAAACTAGGTTCCTTGATGCATCTGAATTTTGCTTTATTTTTTCCATTTGACGTGTTGTATTGAAGTCTTATTTTAAAATAGTTCATGAACAAACAAGTAAATAAGGCACCCAATGAGTCCTTTACTGCTGCAATTTTTCACAGAGTCATTCTAGGGTCCTTTTATCAAATAGAATCTTATTCTTTTACTCAGTGGTTGATAATGTTTTCAGCTGATCCTGATAATACTGTGAAGAAAGAGTGGATAATCAATCCCAACGACAAAAGCTATATTTGTATCCTCCACCGGTATTTACAACAAATATTAAAGGCACAACCTCAATATGAATTCAAAGAACTAGGTAAGTTTCATTAGTTTTAATGGCCTTTTTTTAATTCGAAGAAAATTAGAAGAACGAGGCTTAACATTTTAATCCTCGATCAGAGTTTTTCGAGATGAACCAAACTGAATTTAAAATAAAGTTTCAAATATGCATTCCTTTCCCAGTTTTACCATAAACTTCTATGGTAGGAAATAAAATGCTAAATAGTGTCTCCCGTGGTAATTTTTATTTTATCATATGCTGCAGTTACAACTATCATACCTGTGGTTTTGTCCTCTGGGAATGGCCAACTCTTCAAGTCGTTTTTCTGTTTCAATTGGTATTCAACAGTTATTTTGATCTTAGTCATACTGATTTAATTTTTGTAAAAAAAAAAAAAAATAAAAAATAAAAAATAAAATAAATAGGTAGAAAACAAATTAGATCACCCTGAAGGACTAGGGATTCTTCAGGTCTTTTAATTTTCATTAACATTTTTTCAGCAAAATCAATCAGCACCACTCAAGTTCCTAAGATAATTGGAGACTACAAGACCAAAAGCAAAATGCTTTATCCTATCAAGTTCTGTTTTTTAAGCCAAGCTTTAATGTTGATTATTCTTTAACACTCCCCATCCTTTCCCTGTAGTCCTCTTTTAATTCTGGTTTTTGCTGCTGTCATTTCAGAAAATGCAAAAGCGCCTTACATGGCGATCGTCAAAATTAACGGAATGCAGTACGGCACAGGTATGGGAGCGAGTAAAAAATTCGCCAAAACAGAAGCTGCAAAGAATACACTACAAGTATTCTTCCCCCAAATGAAAGATAAAATTGAGGATAAAAAATCAGAAAAAACCGAGGAAGAAAGTCACAATATTTCAGTAAGTGAAATCTTAATGTTTAATGCTCCACCTCTGGGGACTAAAACGTGATCAAATATCGCACTGTTAATGTAGTTGGCGCTCACTGGCTCAGCACACATATTTTAAGATAAAACTTACAGCCAATATCTATTAAAATATCATTCTACTGTAGACTTTTCATTCTTTCTTTATTTTGTAGATGAAAGTTATTGGAAATTTATTGATTGTATCCTCCATTAAGTTTTACAATTGCACCAAGCGCACAATATTTGAAAACAGCTATAATCCATTCTTGACAATCTTTATTTTCATGCTAATAGAGCTCTAAATAAAAAAATGGATAGGATGCCAATGAAGCATCAAATATATAATCGCCATAGGCTCCATACACCAATAGCTCTCTTAGAGGGCCATTCTATTTGTATCTAACCATATAATGTATCTCCCCAGCTCCACAATAGAATGATTCAATCTTATCTGATAAAATTCATCCAATTGCAGTTAAGAAAAAACAGTGTTTTTTGTTTCCTGAAAATGAGGGAGTTTAGTTATGAGCGTTGTGTGTAACAAATAAAGTTTCAACGATTCTTCAAAAAGTAAGACACTAAAAATAATTATGGATAGTGCTACCATGATTGCCCAAAGTCCAAGTGGGATACGACTGCCAGTGAAATACTTTAATGTTGTATATATTTTCAGAAATAAATGCATTGTATTTTCTTCTGTTACAAATGAGGAAACTCATAGAAGTGTTCAAGCCAGGTTACGCTTAAGGGAGCGGGAAGTATGGGTGCAAAAATGTCCATAATGACGACTGTTTTTTGTAATCCAGCGTTTTTGCTCCAAAGTCAAATTTTAAAATTTCCACATAGAAAATTGTTCTAGCAAAATGCCTAATTTTACATCAAATTATGCATTTGCTTTGCTCATATGCAGTAAAAAACGAAAAGTACCTTTAAACTCAGGAATTGCCCCTCGATTTCCACAATCCATTGATTGCCAGGTCAGGGATTTTTTGTGGAAAGATGCAACTGTTATAACTCAATGGTGGAAAAGTTAAGGGGTCATTAAAATGACTGCTTAAACAACTTATCTAATTTTTTTCTATGTAGTAAAGGTAAGTATGTACGTACACCACCCTCGCTTCCTCAGGAAGAAGATGACCATCCATGAACGTATTAAGTATTTATTTTGAGAAAAAAAATATCTAAGTAGTATTTTCCTCTTTTTACAGGTTTTTGATGAGGTCAAAGTTACAGATCCAAGAGTCGCTGAGTTCTGTGCAAAAACCACAGAACTTTCTCCACATGATATCCTCCTGACATGTCTGCAAAGGTATTATCCTCGTTTAAGTTAATCACGGGCTTCGTTGAATCGTCTGTCTCTCTTAGTATACATTTCATTAAATGGTCACACAATGTCTATGGACTGGTAAAGAATAACCAGGGAAAATTTCGAGCCATTTTGTTGATTTTTTTTCTTTCCATATAGGAAAAGATCGACAGAAATTCTGCAGTTGAGATTCATAGTTTTGAAGTTACTCCATCAATAAAAATGTCTACCTGCACGCACCAAACCTATCGTGGCCATTGTAGACTGCTCTATGGATTTGTTGCAACCTTCAGCCAGAGGAGAAAGATGAGTTGCTTCTCACGGAAAATGGCTCAAAAATAACGATGAGCACATCGGGTTGGTCTGAAATACCTTCCTAACTTCACAATCTGCAGAAGAAATATGCGCTTTTTTAAGCTTCCCGCTTTGGAAACGATAATGTGGTACAGGTGAACATTTTGTAAGAGGAATCTTTCCATTCAATCCTTGCGCACCAGAATGCTACACAATATTTAACATAGCTGATGCTGTTGTGCGCAAATCATGAGGAAGTACCATGGTCTTTATCAACGCAAGGAAACTGTCAACGCCCAACACACTGGTTGATAAAATCCCGCCTTGTTTCGTGTGTTTTGGCGGGTTGGTGTCAGCCATTTTGAATATTGTATAGCATCCTAGTGCGCAAGGGTTGGATGGAACGACGTTTCTCACGAAATGCTCATCTTTGCCCTAGTAACTTTTTGAAGCGGGAAGCTTTAAAAATGCATAATTCTTACACAGAGTGTGAAGTGAAGAGTGTATTCAGACTTTTTTGATGCACCCATCGTTTTTTTGAGCCGTTTTACGCAAGAGGTAACTCATCTTTTTGCTCCAACTGCAGTTTGCAACAGGCCCATTGCTGAGCCCTCCCAAAAAGAAGGATTTTTATGCAATGGCTGAAAAAAATTGTTCACCTCCTTGCTCCAGAACTGTTAAATTCTCCCTCTTCTGGGGCAAGGAGGATAAAGATTGGTGGTCACATTTTGTACCCTCTTTACGTCACACGGCATTGGGGATATTTCAGGTACATCCTGATTATATGGCAAAGCATGTACCCTCTGCGCATCACAGCCTTAAAAGTGGCGGCTCAACTCGAAATGCGACCATCTTTCTTCATCTGCCTTGCTTCTGGGGATGAAATTTTTTAGCTTTTTTATGTTATGTATTGCGTTTTGATTCAAATATAATTTTTTCTCATATTTTTATCTTGCAGGAATTTCGGGAAAGGTGAAATAAATATTGACTACAAAGTAAATGCTATCCGTCATGGCCAGAACGAGTTCAAAATGACTGTAGGAAAGCATACGGCAACTGTTCTCTGTAAAAATAAGAGAGACGGAAAACAGAAAGCTTCTCAGGAAATTTTGCAGGTAAATTACTACGCCCTCAATCATCGATCATATCATTCATCCTCCTCTTTAGCCCCAAGAAGCATCAACTAGATCACCTCAGATTTTCTCTCATGCCGCAATCATACGCTGAATTTAGCAGCTGAATGTGGAAGTCAACAGTCATCGCCCAACGGCTGAAATTTAGCAAATTCGAGTTATTTTTATCCAGATGTGTATCAAATCTACTCGAATAGTTCAAACAAATTCAAAATTGGTCCGGTGGTTGCTGAGAATCGTTGCTGAATTTTGCGTGTCACGCGCAAAATTCAGGCATCGGGCCGATGACTTCCACATTCAAGCCACATTCAGCTCCCATATTCCCTGTGTGATTGCGGCATCATCAATATTTTCCAGCATGGATTGCTTTCAAGCAGATCAATAAGCAGTTTCAATTTTATTACTTCTTATAATTTCAGTCCCTGTAGTCAAAAACATTGTTCTCGGGGTAACCTTTCTGGAACAAGTTTGATTTGCACTGAGTTACAGCGGGTGTAGAGATCCTGCGTCCCGAAAGTCAAGTTGAAGCTAAGAGATCTCTCCTCTCATCGCCCTGCCTCAGAGTGTGGCACTAAATTTTTCCGCAAAGCCAGCTGTTGCTCTTCAGGGTTTGTGAACAGTTTCTCCATGCAGGCCATGAATTTTGCAGGATCCTATTCTGATTCATTGTCCTTGGTGCTATAAGAAAGGTGTCTTTGTTCATTCTTTAATCTCCGCCTTTCGACCCCAGCGGCTGCTCAGTTTCAAATAATGGATGAGGAATATTCCCGATTATTTTACAACAGCTCAGTTCAATAAAATGAATGCGTCATCCATGACTTTTTAAGATTTCAACTGCATAGATTTTTGTTCTCTTGTTTCATGGTATGTGCTCCTGCAAAAATACGGGAAGTTAGCTATCAGTAATCATGGCTAAGAATTGAAAGTCCTAGAAAGGAGCAATAATTTCTCTGTTTCTTGTCCCATGCTCCGAGTTATCCGCATACTCCTTGGACAATAGTTAATGCCTGCAATACCACTGCGGTCGATATTAATCACTGTAGCGGAGAGATGGTTATCTAAGCTGGTGTTTGTCCTCAGTGAGGAAAAGAGGTCAGGGATGTATTGCTGAGAACCTTTGTCCAAGCATTGTGAAGGGAATCATTCTGCGACGTTCCATTGTTCATCGAAAATGCACATAAATGGGAAGAGTGAACACTTTAATTCACTTTTTTCCATTAAAGGAACTACTTTTCCTGAATGGACCAAAAAGAAAAAATCAAAAGTGGCAAATAAGAGAACGCTATCAAAGTACAGGATCAATAGAGTTTGTTCCTTTTTTCTGGTAGAGTATTATGAAAGTCATTTTCATGACTGATCTTGTAATTTCTTTAATGTCATAGAAACTGCACCCTCATATTCATACTTGGGGATCTCTACTGCGATTGTATGGGAATCAAAGGATAAAAAATATGAAAGAGAAGAAACAGGAAGAACAGGAGATCACGCAACTTCAAAGCAAAGCCCTCATCAATTCACCTAACTTTGCAATTTTGAACAAGCTGAAAGCAGAAATGACAAAACTGAAGAACGAAAAGGTAAGCAAGTACCAGAATGCTTTTCATCCGAGTGCTCTTGACGTTTGATTTGTTTTCGAATTCCAAAAGCGGTGCTCTAGGTAGTTGTTGCTTATGCTGTAGTTTTTCTGTAATTTCGTGATAGGCGCCGTCGCTGCCCATGTCGAAATTTAACTCAGAATTTTGTGTTAAGTATAGGAACGGTTAAGACAAAAAGCTGCTCAAGTCGAAATTTTCTTCCGTCCCTTCACGTTTCGTCAGTACTGTACATTTCTTTTACTGTATTAACCTTGATAGAAGCAAGCTGATTTTCAATAAAAAAAAAATGTTGCACCAAAGGCTCATATATGAAACATGGAAGTTAATAGATAGGGTACAGAAAAAGAATGACTACAAAGCTCGAGGCACCATTTTTAAACTCTCCTTCAAAAGAGAATACAGACAATATTTGCAAAAAAATTTCTCTCAGTTATGATTATTGTGTCTCTAATTTTCAGTATATCTTTGCCTATCAGTCTTCATCAAATCATACGAGGGTCATCCCAAAAGTAAATTTACCCCTTTCGAATCTCCGGAACTATAAAAGATAAATCAAGTCGGTAAAAAGGAGCTTCTATCTTATAATATCAGCTTTCTACTGATATCAAGCTTTATAAATTTGAACCACTGGTTGCCGAGAAAATCGATTTATACGTAAACAACTCGGTGAGTCCCGTCCATCAAACGATGCGCCGCGCTACCCATTGTGCATATGTGCATACACTTTCCGCAGTTTGAGCTTTTCAGTTAAAATGTTTGCGACACTGGAGCGTTCGGCTTCTAAACTTAGAAGCAAAAGATCACCAATTTCGTTGATTTTGTACCGGCAATCCTCTTCAGCAATCTTTTTAATGGCATCAATTGCAGCATCGTCTCCTGAAGCATGACTGGAACGTCCAGATCGTTTTTTGTTGTGCACATTTTCTCGCCTATTCAGAAAGTAATTCCGCCATTTACAGACCATTACAGAACTTATAGACAGACTACCATACTCTGCAACTAACTTCTCATGAATATAAGCACAAGTATCATCACTCACAAAGAAAAAACGAATAACAGCGCGGATTTCGTAATCGGTGATTGTTGCAATGGCAACTCCGTAATGAAACGCACAATACTGATTTAAGAATCCACTGATCATGATGCAGCTGTTCATGAGTTCCCCGTGCATTTTCACTGATATATACTCAGAAAATGTGTTAGAATATTGCACTTTTCTTATTTGGATTCCTGGCAAGAAGATGTTAGAGACAACAGCGACGCGCGACAACATGCGATGCATCTCATGTAAGCACGCTGTCCAGTGGATGGAACTTGCCGGGAGTTGTTCACGTAAACATTGATTTTCTCTGCAACCAATGGTTCAAATTTAAAAATCTTGGTATCGCTAGAGGGCTGAGGATATAAGAAAGAAGTTTATTTTTACCAATTTGACTTATCTCTTATAGTTTTGGAGTGATAAAAGGGGTAAACTTACTATTGGGATGACCCCCGTACAACTCATGCTCATTTTCCAATACATCTTTTATGAAATAAGAATCTTTTTCCCCCCCTCTTTTTTTCTTCCATTGGTTTTCGTCCGTTGGTTTCTCTTTTCCATTATTTTCTCCCACTAATGTCACAACTAAATTTCTGTATTTCTGATTCCAGGAGGCTCTAAAACCTGTTGGCAAATTCTACCCATCGCTCCATGAGTCTCTTCCATCTACATCAGTATCCGACTTGAACAATGTCGATTTGATCTAATGGCAACTTGAAAGAGAGTTCTTTTCTGTGATCTCAGCATGAATTTTCGTTAAGAAGAAGTACTTCACAGTCCGCCAGAGTGGAACTTTATTTGTTCTCTTTTTTAATCCTAGTTCAAGAGGATGCATCTTCCATCCTGAACAACAAAGAAAGGGAGTTTGTTTAAGGCCCCAAGAACTTTTGGTCCAGTCGAAGGTTAGCACATTCACTCACAACAAAATCTTTTTGAACTGACATGGAGGAATGGTAGTCCTTGGAAAGTTATCGGAGAAGATACTTTTTTATCAAGAGATACATAATGTTTTTAATTTTTGATAAATACAAGTACATAAAGGAAGTATTTATTCTGGGTGCATTTAGGATCTACAGAAAGTCTCTTACTTGACAGCGCTCAAACTTTGGCTGAAATGCATGATTTAGGCATAATTACTTCAGGCTCAGTTTCTATTTAAGTAATCTACTTGATTGATTTTTTCTGGATTGCAGTTTTGTCGCCAAGCTGTCTTTCAAAGTATTCTAAGTCACTTTTCAAACCTCAAACCCTGTTGCAACGTCTGTGATTAATGCTAATGAGAATCAGCAGGACTAATTTTCCTTTTCTGTCTTGTTAGAATTAATGATTTGTCTGCAGTGCTGTTATACCTCCTCAAAATAGGGTCAGGAATGAAGTTCCACAATACGTGCATCTCCTTTTTAACTAATGCACAGGTTGGTGTGGATGCACTAAACATTTTTGGATTTAACATAAATGTGAGAAAGTAGCGTTTCCTATGATTGTCAACTTAAATTTTCCTTTCACCATAAAAGTGCAATGACATGAACTACTTTTAGTATGTTTGGCAACAGACAAAGTGGACTACATTTTGCAATTAGGAAGAACTATTTTTTGTAACTTCATCAAAGCACCTATCTGCAGAAGGAAAAATAATGACACACAAGTTTTTTCTAAAGTAAGACAGAAATAGTACTTCCTTATAGCAAAATGTAGTCTAATTTTCCCCGTGTATAGCATTTTTCTTCACAAGTTGACTAGGTCTGCATATGAGATGAGTTGACAGATTTTACCAAGGCTTCATCCAATCCTCATTATTTGAGCAGATATAAATTGTTGAAACGTAGCTCATAAGATATTGTATATCAATGCATCAGATATGTATTAACGTACTAGATTCGTTTAAAAGCCGACTGCTCATCAACCCTCATTATTGCTGGTTTTTCCATGTGCTGGGAGTTTGAATTGATCAATTGTCGTGAGTCACAAATGTTAATTTTTCTCGAGTTAGTTTTGGATTTTGATATTTTCAACTTGCTTCGCTTAAAATGTTAATGATGAATCATGTCCCGTGATATCATGATTTTTACTATTATGTGGTCCATTGACTTCATTCAGTGCTAGTACACTTATCCCGCAACATGCCATGTACTTATCATTCATGGGAGCGATCTAATTTCATAGATCCAAGTTTCATTCAAAAGCTCCCTCACGTCAGAAGAAGTTGATTCCCTTGCAGTTTATGGAGTACTGTCAAATTTTTGATGGTTCAATAATAATTCAAGATTTCTCCCCTTGTAATGTCTTGGAAAATTGTAGGCGAGAGCTGTCAAAGAGAACCTTTCTATACTGCATGTTATTTTTCTAATCATTAACAATAAATGTTATTTTGAAAGAAATAACCAGTATTTTGTTTTTTCGTTACCTCCCCACATTATTTTCTTGATTGGTCTCATGTCCCAAGAAGTATAAGGTTCTAAAACACTCAACATCTTTTTATCATTTAGCACCTTTGCCTTGCTAAACTGTTTGATATGCCTAAATTCCAAGAACGCAGTAAAACCCCATTTTTCTTCTGCCTATATATTATTTTCCTTTGTCTCAACCAGCATAATTAGCCTCTCTATGAGCAATTTACGGATTGCAAGAGGGCATGCTTTAGTCCCCCGATGCCTTAGTCTGAATATCTTTTGAGCAAACTCAGATTTTTTCTTTAACCTTTTCATCAATCATCTGAAGTAATCTTTTTTGACAGAAAACTGTTCTTTCTCAGTCTCTTTTCTCCATCCTTTTTTGGAGAACCGCCATCTCAACATGGACAAAAAAATAAGGATAAACAATCGTAGTTCTAGGGTAAATGAATCTTCTTGCTAGGGAACTGTATAGTGAGATAGTGACCTTATTGTTTAAAGGAGTGGAACAAAAATGTAGGCATGAAAATGCCCGTAAATTTCAAGGCTAAACGGAATTATGTATTTCAAAGTTTGAAACAAGTATTCTTGGAAAGAATAAAGGACTGGAGTCATGAAGCTTAGTTTTCAGAGTTCTTAACGAGCAGTTTGGAAAAAAAAAAAAAATAAAAGGCCAAAGTTTTAAGTTTTCGTTAACCAACCAAGTTCACGGCGTGAAATAGTCGAATTATTATGCCACTGAGAACTCTTATGTGAGAATAAAGCCACTCTAAACGTGATCTTGGGCATCCTGAAGTACTTTGTGTCGAAAGCTCCAATTCCGATACTTCAACACAAAATGAAGGCCGAAGTCCACGATTAGTCTGGCGTCAGTTTGATGAGTTTGTTGCTTGATGAACATCAGGATTTAGCCTGCCGCCAAATCCTGACCATCAATCAACGCTCTGAATGATGAATCCGTGTATTTTAGCCATGACAGAAATCATTCTTCTCAAAAAATTGCCTCTGCGCAACACAATTCCTTTATCCAAGGTTGGTCTCAAACAGTAAGACTATGATGTCTGCTAAGGCCAAGCTACATACATTTGTTTGCGATATAATTCCATTGCTCATTCATTAATTGATTCATTTCGTATTTGGACCGCATTTAACAGAAAGGAACCAAGCCACATCAGCTATTGCCAAATTGAGCCGGGCAAATTAATTTTTTACGAGCGAACGTTTGTGCGGATTCTTTTGAAAGTATCGAGGAATTTGCCTCGTACTATGGAGAAAATTCATTAAAATTTTCACAAAAATCCCCACAACCCTTATCATGTGAAAAATTAAACTGCCCAATGAAATTTGGCAATAGCAGATGTGGCTTGGTTCCTTTCTGCTTAACGCGGTCCATTTAAGGAGGTGCTCACAATCAAGAAATTTTGTAACAGATGCACATATCAACGGTGAAACCGCAAAAAAGAATACATATCTTGGTTCAAGACATCACAGACTTCCTGATATACTTCATTTCTCGAATGGAAAAATACTCAAAGTCATACCTTGACTTCCTAGATTGTCTTCGTGTGAAGAATAATTTGTGAACATTTTCAAGCAATAACATAGATTAGTTCTTCGATGATAAAATAAAATGCAGGCACAGATTTTTAAGCACTGCAAACGAGGTACGCATTCCTGCAGTTTCATCAAAAATAAATGATAAGAGTTTTGGTGTTTAATTTTTAATCCTGGCTGGTAGTTAATCAAGTTAGAGATGGCATGTAGCAAAAGGAAATTGAATGGAATTGAAAGTAGTGAAAACACAAACCAAAAATCTTTCCAATTCTTTATATTACAATAAAAATGACTTATTTATTCTGAATAAATTTTCCCCCTTTCATACACAAACACAAAATCTGAAGTTTATAACACATTGAAAGAAAGAACAAAATTCCTTGAAATAAGGGAAAAGGAAAAGTAAAATAATGTAAAAGAAAAAATTTAACATCAGCTTAAAAAAATCAAAATGAGGAAAACCTAGTAATGAGAAATATATCAAGGAGATCTGATTCTTTACTCTCGTGTATGATGTTGTTCACAAACTTTCAAATATATCTCATCAAGAGAAAGTAGCTAGGATCAAGAGGTTTATCTTCTTGATCAGAATTGAGAGATCCATGAGGAGCGCTTGACAAAAAGAAATTAATGTACAAGGATTTCGGTCAAACGCTACCCACAGACAAAAAGTAAAGAATTAGCCTCGTAGGACAAGATGCAACATTAATTTACTAGACATTAACATCATAGTGTAAAATTATGGGTTTAAAAATATTACATAAAGAGGACCGAAGCCTCTTAATAAAGATTAGTTATAGTTACAAGCTGATTCAAAATATAATACGTAGTTTCCAGTTCAATTTTGGTAAGATTCAACGTGCTCTTCTTTACAATTTCGACATGAAATAAAGGAAAACGAACAAAAAAACTTGCGTCATTAGTACTACAGATGAACTTTTTGGAATCAGGAAATAATGTACCTGTAAAACAGAAGAAAGGTAAGCATGAGTGTGGGCGTGGGTACACAAATTACTTTTTAAGACAAGCACGATTGATTCATTTCATTTAAAAACAACAGAACTCTAATTTTTTTCTGATTAACTTTTTTGAAGAGCACTTCTTTTCAGAGATGAACACATTCAGTTCCTGTCTGATGAATTTTTAGAGACAATAAATTTCTCGAGATTTTTGGTGCAACCCCTTATTTTCTCCGGAATAAAATATCGCAGACTTAAGTTTGTTTTCATTGGGTTCCTGGGTTCAGTTAAATGTAGCCCACATAAGTTCGGTTCGATTTTTAAAATATTCCACATTTTTCTCTGAGAGCACAGCTATGTTACAAATGAGCCTCACTTAACTCACTCCACTAAATTCTGAATAGAAAGAATTTCTCCAGTTTCCTTGACATTTCCTAATCCACTAACGGATGTCTGCCCTATTTCACTATGCCTGCTACGTTCACGCTTTTAGATGCAGAATCCACAGTCTTGCAAGCTTCAGTGAATACTTTTTGATTTTGATAGGGGAAAAATAATTCAGCAACTATCATTCTGATTTTCTGCACATGGACAGTGAAACTGCAAGAATGCATATCTCGGTTACAGCGTTTCAAAATCTCTGCTCTGATTTCATTATTTAAGCAGACCGAACCAAGTCATGGCTTGAAACTTTCACAGGAAACTTCTTACACGGAGAGGAAAAATCCCAGAAGTTATCAAGAAATGATGTTAACAGGGTTGCAACTGTCAGGAAAAGCCTGGAAATGCCAGAGAAAATGTCAGGGGAAAATTGGCAAGTCACCTTTACTTCCTTTTCGGGAATGGGTTCGACGTTTCTAACAACAAATCGTGCCTGAAGACTAATTCCAATCATGTCTTTTTGAGCATGTGGCATACCCTCAGTAGTCTCGGAATTTTTCAAAAATGTGACAGAGAAAACCGGGAATTTTATTCTCTAAATTCTGTGCCAACCCTGTGTTTAGCAGTTTTTGATGTAAAAAATAAAGTATGACCAAAAGTTTGCAACGCCTCAGGCAGAGATATGTATTTATGCAGTTTCACCATCAACATTCATTAAAAGCATGAAATTTTAGGGAAAAATTTTGAATCAAAGTGCTCCAAAATAAAATTAAATTAAAAACGCTTTCGTTCCACAGTTCATTAGATTTCATGATGAAGAGAACTCATAAGCTACACAGATGAATTATAGGATGGTGATGAATTATGATGATTAGATGATGAATTATATAATCTTTATGCAACATCTTCACCTTTCAAGAATCTCTTTTAAAAAATACTACATGCGCTGAGAGGATATGAGTATACTTACAAAATGCAGTCAACAGAGAATGAGGAAGTTTAGTTCGCCGTGGGAGGGATTAACGGACAGCTAACAGGCTCTGACACAGGGTCTGATTCTGTTTTCGGAGGTGCACTTTCCTCTGAAACAGCTGATTTAACTGACTTTTCTTCTTCTACGGCAGGTTTTTGGTCTCCGCTTTCAACAACTGGTGATGTATTTTCAGTATTTTCTTTTTTAGTTTCTTCTACTGGGGGTTCAACTGGCTTCTCTTCTTTCTTTTCCTAAAAGAACATAAATAAAAGAACATTTCATCTACTGTCAAAAGAGACCGAGACAAAATTGACTTGAACAATACCTACCAAATGCGTAGGTAGTAAAAGCCAGATTTTAAAGACCTCAGCGAGACAGCTATCATCTGAGCATTGAAAAATCTCCTTTCAGGCCATAACCGATTAAAGTTCCTAGCTGTCTTCAAAACACTGTGTTTAAAAATAATGCATTCATCTCGAGGAAAACGAATAACCTGTTCATGAGTCCATTGAAGAACTCTTGAAGAGCTCGGCAAGTTTTCGGACTTGCAAAACTCAAGGGCGAAAACATTTGAAACTAAATTTATCTATTTTTATTTCAGCTTTACCAAATACGAGGATAGTACGATACTGCATTTTGTTGCCTGGAGGAAAATACTGCTGATATAGGCCATTTGAAGTTTCATGATGCCATGGCAAAAATGTTGTTTCTATCTGGATGGCAAGTGGACGATCAGTGATACTTGGATTACTACTTTAAAACTCCCTAGTAGAATGTCATTTCATTAAAAAAAAGTTAAGATGACCATATCATAATGTACAAATCTTTACTGTGGCTTTATTGTGTTGGCTGTAACCGTCACTTCTGGGGTTTTATTTTTACAAAAAAAATGGTACTGTCTACTACGTAGTTAAAAGAATGAGCCACTGTCTTGTCATAAAAAAATGCAAGAAACTAAATGAAATCATTAATGAATTCTGAATTGAATTTCAAAATACATACCGGCTCTTTACTTTTTTCTTCACTCTTGACACAAGAACTATTTGATTCAGGGGTTGGTGTAGGAGTTGGTTTTGAAGGTGCATCAGTTGCGTCGACTTCCATTGGTTCTGGTTTCTCCTCTTTGCTCTTGTCTTTTTCCCCTGCTTCCGCAACGGTTGTCGAGACTTCTTTCTCACTTTCCGAGTTTGCTTCTGGTTCTTTTGTGCTTTCTTCTGCACCGTCTACAAATGATCAAAACAGCAGCTTTGGTTTAATTTAAAGCTCATTTGAACAATACAGAAATATGGACGAATAAGCCACTGATAAGTGTGCTTGAATACTTTTGACAAGTACAACATAACTGGGATCTGCATAATCGTATTACATACATATTACCTAACACCCTCTTGTGTTTCATTTTCCAATAGAAGACTGAGCAACATTAAGTTTTGAAACTTTCTGAGAATTTCCTCTATTTACAGAGTATTTACAAAATTTTGAGGCAAAATATTGCAAATTTTCTGTTAAAAGTGAAAATTGGTTGGTATGTAATGTAGTTAGCCTGGTCGAATTTAAGCTATAGGAATGTAGAGTTGAGTATAAATTTTCCCTCCTTTTTTTATTCTCCCTTTTTCAAAGTGGTGCAGAAACACTGAGTTTCAGGTTCCAGGAAGGACTCAATTCTTGTTCAAGCTTGAACGAAAAGATTGATTAAATGTCTCAGAAAATTTTTAAAAGGTTTAAATTTTTTCTGCCTTGCATCCCTTTCAAATAGAATGATCCTGATTTTTTGGGGAAAATTTTTACCAACAGGACTGACAATGGGTTTTTGGAAGCTTGCTGCAGTACAAAATATAACAGATGCTTGGGAGCAGAAATTTTCTGATTATGCAACCCTGGACAAGAGGAGAGGAATGATAATTGTAAAAAAATAGGGCTCTAGGTGTCAAGAAACAAGTGATTTTTGTTCGACATATGACGATGGAAGAGGAAAAATATAAAATACTTTTGCTTAAAAATTTAGGGAAAAAAGGTATTTCAGAATGATAGGGCTAACTAACATTCTGTATTCCTTGAGCAGACAAAAGAAAAGAAAGACTCACCTATTTCTTCCTTCTCTTCTGGTTCTTCGTCTTTCTTTTTAGCATCAACATTGTTTTCCTTTCCGTCAACATTATTTTCTTCTTTCTTCTCTTCTTCTGCAGTATCATTTTCTTCTGGCTCTTCTACTTCTACTTCTTCCTTCTTCGGCCGCCCTCTTCTACCTGCAAATCAAATTAATGGATAACAGAATAGCCATGTGTTGTTGATTTTTTTTCGATTTTCGAAAGATATCGATTTTAGGCACAAAATAATCGATTAAATTGAATCGACTTTTTGCACACGATTTTGCGGCTGAATTGATTTTTTACTCACAAATCGAAATTTTTCGATTTTTTACAAACAAAAATTTTAGGTACTCCTGAATAATTCAGGTAGCAACAGGCCTAAATTATTCTTTAAAACTAAAAGAAGGTATCAAAATTGCTCCAATTAAAGTAACAACGAAACTCAACGCTCAGTGATGCGAGAATTTAAGAAAAATGAACAGCACAATACTCATCCTAAAAATCTATTTTTTATTCACAGCGATTTTTCGGCCTTGACTTTTCAGCGAATAATCTATTTTTTGGACAAAATTGGCACTTTCGATTGAATCGATTTTTGGGTAAAAATCAACAACACTAAAAACATGTTAAAGCTAAGAAATACAGTGCTCAAGATCATGTGGTCACAAAATATACAAAGATAATTGAGCACATTGATGCTCATGCGCTTCAAGCTGAATACTTGAAAAATACAGTTCGGCGGTTACCACATGGTAGCAAAAATGTGTTGATCTGTCAGTTTCTTAGAAATCGCTTCAGGAATTTTTTCTATCATTACAGACACATCAAACCAACGGCTACAACTGAAGATTAACTCCAGGAGCGCGTACGATGATGAAGCACTGCGTTATGATCGGCCTTGGTAACATCATTCAGATAAACTGGGACAAGACGTTCCATTCAAACAGAAAATTAAGCTGAGAAAGGGTGAAACAAGAATCAAAGAAAATTGTAAATTTTGTTTGCTGGGAGAAATATATGCTCTAATGAGTAGGTCTCTGGGGCAATCTTTTTCATTGCTTTTTAGATACTTGTGAACAAAAACAAACAAAAAATGACGTCTTAACAAATTCAGTTTCAAAAGCTATCTGAATCCTCAAACCGAATGTTTTTTTTATCATTTTGCTAGTTTTCCTTTGCATTCAAATAGTTTGTTGAGGTTATCTCCACCCCCAGGCAAGTTCCCGTAGAGTCAAAGTGGTGACACAAATTTTCTTTAAAAAAAGAATATATAAATAAATTTAAAAAAAATAAATACCTCCTCTGGTTCCAGATGCCGACTTGCGTTCTCTTTTAGGTGGCGGAGGGGTGGCAACAGGTGTGGTTGAGCCTCGAGTTCGAGATCTTGTTGTCCGACGGCCTTCATTTTCAGTGTCTGGAGTTGACAGTCCCTGAAGAAAAAAGACAAAAGTTAATGAGAAAAAAATTGAACTGGGGGCAATTTAATTAGGAATGAGTATAGTTTTCTAAATATTCCAATAACTTGAGTAATTCTATGCTATTATGATTTACATTATGAGTACTTTCTTTCATTAACCTACTGATACGTCTCCTCTGCTGAGAGTACATACTCTTGAGTTAAAAATGATGACATGATCTAACTTCATGATCTATTGACTGCAAATGAAAATGAAGACTGATGAAAGAAGTGAGCACATTAAAGTGAGTGATTTTACCCGTTTGTCTGATACTTACATGATTTGAAGAATTATCAACTTCTTTCATTACCTGATTTTTGAAAGGTAATTCGACGCTTAGGATCAGATTCTTTTCATTTTTCACTGAGTTTCTAGACTTTTCCTAAGAGCTCAGGGAAGAATATCAATTTTATGAAGCAAAAAAGGCAAGACTCTTTTCTTCTAACATCAATTATCTCAATTCTCTACATATGTTTTCTTTCCTGATGGGTTCTAGTTTTTCCCTCTCCATTGACACTTAATCCTTGTGCTTTATCAGTCTGATGTCCACGAACATGAAAACAAGATACTAAGGCCTTGTCTCCACGGGCCGTTTCACGAGATTTGTCCCCAGGAAAAATCCCACTTACGAAGTTGGGAAAAATATTGAGTTAATCAATATTTTTCCCAGTGCCAAGTATGGTACTTGTACCCCTAGGACCCACTGAGAGGAGAAGAAGAAGTGAAAACGAATCGTACGATATTTTATTCATTACTCCATTGTTAATGTTTGTTTAGTTAAAATAATGTGTCTAATTGTCAATTGAGTGCAATTATTATTTTAACCCATTCCCTTAACAATTAATTTTGCATGCCCGCGCACAGAGCTACTATTTAATTTTGCTGTAAAAAGCTGTATTTGGTTTCTTCTTAGTTTTCTGCTTTTCCTGATAATTAGGAGCGAGTTTTTGGCCTAATTCTTATTAGTTATAACTAGAAGGATGTTTATATGAATAAATTTGCCTGGATGTTGCACTTTTTCTGCAGTAAGTCAGCTTATGTAAGGGGAATTTCCTGAGAAAAAAAAAAAAAAAATGTTAAATTTAGGAGAAAAATCTTATTTATTGTAAGAAAAAGTACATGCAATGAGCCACAAAACCTCTAAAACTCTTAAAACATATGCTCAAATAAGATCTAAGCACCAATTAGCACCAAAATAAGAAAAAAGAGCGAAAATAAGCTTACATCTCGTTGTTGTGATTCATTGATAACAAGAAAATAAACAGAGAGCAAATTTCGAGGTTATTCCAGTTTTCCACATTTTCAAACTAACAAAATTCCCTATATTCGGGGAAATTACCGTACAAAACCAATACAGGTTGGTCACACTACTTCTAGTTACAACATCTGTCGATTTACGTGGCGCTATCTATCGTGAAAACATCAAAACACGGCAATACGCGTAGCCAAGTTGCATGACGAGTGGGACTCGTCATTTCACGTTTGTCCCGGCGCGGCCATGACGAGTCAAGCTCGTCATATTAAGGGAATGGGTTAATCCCAGTTAGATATTCAACTTTAACTAATTTATCTTCCCGCGCAAACTAGTCGCAGAACTATATGAGCCCCGTCTCGTGGAGACTGTACTGGGAGAAATCCCAGAAGTTTCATTCCTGCGATTCGAACTTGGGACAAATCCCATGAAAACGTCCCGTGGAGACAAGGCCTTAGCGAATCCGATAAAATATTGGTGCTTACCTTAAGAAGAGCTTCTGCTTCCTGCGCAATTTGTAAGTCTGAGTTCATCGATCTTTTCTTTCCTGTCCGTTTGGCTGGTGCTGGCTTTTCTGCTTCCTGAGAGTCATTTGTATCTGTGTTAGTAGTCTGAAAAATAAAGGTTACAATCAATACTTGATTGATTTGAACACAATCTTCAATGAAAAAGAACACACACCTATCTAGACAGTTTGCCTTACATTGAACAAAAAAAAATTGTACTATACATAGTTCTAAATCAAATGTTTTTCACAAAAACATCCTGAGAATGCAATTAAATTACTTAAAATTTGTTTAACATGCTGAAAGTCTGCAGAAAATAGCCCAGTTAGAAATTTCTGTTACGCACTGGTTATTGAGTAAACTACATCATTTGTGCGATGATATAGTCGATACACGAGGTTCAGTCCGGAAGAACCTCTTCAGTAATTTGCCGATTGCACAATAGCCGCAACGTGTTGCACAATACTGGTAATCAAAAGAGTTGCAACGTGAGGCGAAATGATTTTGATGATGAAAGGAGAGAGAAATTGATGGGATATTCATGAAAACCGTCAAAGACTGGATTGACAAAGTGAGATGGGGTTGAAACACGAACACCTAGTTTCAAATTCATCTAGCCTCAGATACCCTAACAAATCCTCATGACACCGGCGGAAGGAAAGAAAAAAGAGTAGCACGGTGGGTGGATATTTCATGCGAAAAATTGATGGATTGGCAACTAAACAGCAAATAGCGCAGTTTATTGCAGGCAGAAACTGATTTTTGAGGTTATAATATCTACTCAAATTGTTTACATGTAGGATATATCGTGATAAGAATTAGTCGAAAACATTAACTCAAAACTGTTCATTGCCACGTCCATTCCAAATGTCTGAAGATTGTACGATCACTATTTTCTAATGGCCGAAAATTGACTCTTGAACTCATTGAACTCTTGAAAGGTAACTACTTGGACCAGGCTAGGAAATGAGCAGCACTCAATTCTGCCCATGGTTAGGAATCATTAATATTCTCAGCATAGGAAAAGTGTATTAGTTTTATAGTGCTTGAGTTACATAGGAAAAAAGATAAAGAAATAGCGATGGAGCAGAATCTTTCGTTTGAATTCTGTGAGTGCTTGTTGCTTCGAAGATACAGTTGGGCCTCACTCGTGGAGGGAAATTAGCGTTGCAAAAAATGGCATCATACATTAAAATGGTAGACATTAATGTTGATAAGTATGAGAGGAAGCTTTAGTTTCATTTCTTCAGAGGCAATTAGGAAATTAAGTTAGCACTCATCATTAGGTGGGAACATGCTAAACATAGAGCCACACCTGATGAGCTTGAGAACAGCAGCTGTCCACAGAGATTTGCAGAGGGAATTTTTTGCATCAAGTGTTGCAAACACTGCATGGAATAAATGGAAAATTGCAAATAAATTAGGATCATGTTCTAGGTCCAACATTTTAAGAGAATCGACGAAAGGCATAACGCAAAACAGAAACAGAGAGTATGACTAGCAAGTAATGATCAGTCGAAATAATTAATGCGACAAAGAGCGAAGATACAAAGGATCGTTAACCCCGACCAGCCATTGGGCAGACGGTGTAGAGATGGCTCCCATGAGCTCACTACCCGTACCGACAATGTCATTGCAGACAATCGAAGATCAGAGTCATAAATCATGAAATATCCGTAAAATTCTACAAAAATTATCCAGATTTTCCGTCACAAAAAGCGGCACGAGACATGGAGTACTATCATAATTCCAACAGCACAGCCTAATACCGCAATGGATACCTGTGGTAAGCCTAACACAGACGTGATATCACGGAGTCACGGACTATCCTCGTGAAAATCTACGAACGCACAAAATTATTACCTCTTCGGTCGAAGGGACGGTGGGTTCAGAATTAACTTCGGTACTGGGGTCAGACATGATAAAACACTATTAATTTCACACTAACTTCAAGTAATTTAAACTTTTCGATTAAATTTCATCCATTCAATTCACAAGAGCCACTTTCACAAATTCACTGTTTATAAAAGCAATCTTGACAAACTTAGCGTGGGTCACGTGATTTTCTCGATTATTCCAAGCGCGCCAACCTTTTGTTTCTTCCACTAGCCTTGACTCACGATTTTTACGAAGAGTAAGCTCCACATAAATGGTTTTGAAGAATGTATTTATCAAATTTTGCTCATTAATTTTAAAATCAGTCTCTTTATATATATTTTGTCACCAAAAAATGGTCAAAAAGCGCACCATCAATTTTACGACGAGCCTCGTGGAAAATTGATATGTTGGCAGCCTTGCTGAGATCGATTGTCCTTTGCGCGCCCTCTCTCATTTGAATATTATACACCTCGCCGCAAAGAAATTTCCGAACTTATTTTTGATCATTATTCTTGAGAATCCCATAAAATTTCACGTATTAGATTTTGAAATTTCCAAAATATTTCAATTAGTTCGCACAAAGGTCAGACGTGGAACTCTGGAGTACCGAGGAATCCTCACCACAAGCGCCGCGTGGCCGTTGATCGTTAGAGGGGAGGGGGGCGTTATCAACGGTTTTGGCGCCAAATTTAGAAGCCATATTCAGGACGTTTTCCCTCCTTTTTGAGCGCTGGGCAAATGGTCGTGGGATTGAGACGGGAGGGGGCTCTGTCTAGGCAAGCAATAAAAGTGTGAGCTATATTGATTACTATGCTGTGATGATTAAAACCATTGCACTACGCCTGGTCATAATTAGACGCCTGGATACTAGTTGCCTTCTCCGTGTACTGTGCTGTGCTCGTCGAATTTATTTATTAGAAACCTAGGCTCGACTGTAAAATCTTTATTGTAAAAATAATGAAGATGATAAATATTTGTACAAATTCAATAGCTTGAACTTGATCTGTGCTTCTCCCCCTCTCCCCAGCCACCCTCTATTCCTGTAATATCTCATACATGACTGCATGCTCAATCTAAAGGCTTCGTACATTAATTTCTTTCAACCTAAATGACTGCAATTGATTTTGACAAAAATAAATGAATTTTTAAAAGAATATGTAAAAAAAAAAAACTTTTTCCCCCGTGAAAAATACCCGATACTGAGTTCCAAAAAAATCTCTCGAACAGGAGCTGGGACAGCATTTTAGGCCACGTACGCCATCTTGGATTTTGGAATTTTGGAAATTTGAATTAAACGAATGATAGCCAAGATCTCACCTCAGTTTGGAATTCCTCATTAAAAATCGATGCAATTCTATGTATCGTACGCTAGCATGGCGTGAAGGAAAGAGGCTTTACCTAGGCTTAGGTACTGATTTTAGCATATCGGTCCAATATGGCAACATGGGTGGTTATACTGAATCGGGCAGCGAGTATGGAGGAAGAAATTTTTATTCTCGGAAATTTTTCTGAACGAAACCGAATGCTTATGGCGCCACTAGGCGCCGGCGCTCGGTGCCATAGCTTAAAGGCTTGAATTCTGTGCCTATACTTACTTACCCATGTCGGACGGGTATGATAGAATCTGTTCGCCTACGCTTACCTTTTTTCCATCGAGCTATGCAACCATACCATAAGATACATGCAAAATTGCTTCGATTTTTAGCAAGAACTCTGATTCTGAACCTAGAGTTTGGAAGTCATTCGCTGAAAGTCAAGTTTTCAAAATTCGGAAACGGACATGGCTTAAACTGCTATCTCGGCTCCTGTTCGGTTGATTTAAGTGTGGTGCTCCGTTCGAAATCGCATTTTTTTTTTGACGAGAAACTCAAATTTTCAAAATTCAAAAATTCAAAACGGCGCACAGTGGATCGAAACAATGGGATAGGTCGGACATGAATTTTTGGACTAAAACTGCAAATTTTTATGTTTATTTCGTCACATTTTAAATTTTAAGGGGTGTCTCTAGAAGAAAATTTCACGATGAAACCAATGGAACCACTTTTAGAAACTCGAAATTTTTTTATAAACGGAGTTACAAGCTTTTAAAGTTTCCAAATTTTGTCCGACCTCTATTGACTCGATCCACTGTGCGGCGCCGCGCGGACGTTGCTAAAATGCTATTTCGGCTCCTGTACGACAGATTTTCGTAAAACTTGGCACCGAATAGTATCAGTGGTGGGGGGAGGGGGGAGGAAGGGAGGAGGATTTTTAAGCACCGCAAACGAGATACGTGGTTTGGTGGTTTGGGAGTATCATTGATCCTCACCAAGGAAAATTTACAAAAAGGAAAAGTATGAGCATGCTATGAAAGAGCGAAACAAAAAATTTGAAATACCATAAAAACTAAAATCACCCTTACCTTCCTCATGTTTTTTGTTGTTCGCCTTGTCTACATGATAAGATGGGATAGCATAAAATGTCCGACTGTAAAAAGCTGATAGCTGAAATGATCTTGTTTTTCTCTTGTTCCTACATTAATCGAAGCGTCACGTACAAGTTCCGTTCCACAGCCTGCGTGCCGCAAACAATGTAAAAGGCCGAACAATGATGACAATGTCGAGGACAGATTTTGCACGGTTTATGACTTCCGACTATTTCTGCAACGACACGCTTTGAGGAATTTATACCTCCTTGCTTGTCTAAGGATCGTCTCAGATGTTCAGGATGGTCACAGCTGGTGCCGTTAATATAGGTTATACTCCACGTCCCAGGATTGGATGGTTTCGCATATGCAGCTAAATTTCCGCATGAGAAAGATTCGCTCAATATTAAATGCCGACTCTGCTCGAGTGCAGTTGGCGAACGTTTTATACTGCACTTTAGTGGGATTTCTGTCTTAAAACGCTACCCATTTGCGAACAAGTTTTTGCATGCCGCAATGTTTTTTCAAACTTCATCGATTGCCCTACCCCCCCCCCCCCCCNGCGGTTACTAAAAATTGGTTACGTATCTTTAAAGCGACTCATATTATAGGAAAGATATGTACCTCAGGAGAAAAATTGGATTATCCGAGACTTGAAAAACCCCTCACCTCGCGTGTTTAGGGGGAAAATAATTCTATTTGTATTTTCAATTTTTAGGTAATCTTCTTTCTTTCGGTCGGCTACTTCGAAGTACAATTCGTAAACCTTTTCCTCGACTTTTTATCTACTCTTAAAACTACTATTATTTTTTTTTTTACAATCTTACACATAAAAAAGATGTAATCATTTTTTTCAATGCACATCAATCCATCGTATTTTTCTTTTTTCTCGTGTTTGTTTTTATTTTTACTGTGAATTAAAAAAAAATCATTATAAATCAAGGATACCTTTAGCAAATAACGGGAGCTTGTCGCATAAAGTTGTTTGAGACGAACAAGTTGTTCACGCCAGCATATTTTACTCGATTAGGCTCTTGAATTGCCGAGACATATTATTATGGGGAAGCTGCGTCAGGATGAATACAGCACGCAGATTGTTAATGCTGTCTAACAATTAAACGAATGAACACGACCTGGATCTGCTGCATCCAACTAGTACACTGAAAAAAAAATCTCGGTGTATTTACTAAGAAAAGAGTAAAATTACCAAGAATTCAGGGTTCTATTTGATCCCAGTTTTTTCTTGGTAAAATTACCATTTATGGAATTGGTAATTTTACCGAGAAATCTCGGTAAAATTATTGAACTTTCTCGGTAATTTTACTGGACCTTGGTAAAAACGCCAATATTTTTTATCGACTGTGGTAGAATTACCGATATAAAATAGCAAAGTTACCGGGAATTGATTACCAATAAAAGTGGTATTCTTACCTTTAAAAAAATCAGTAAAAATACCGGTTTTTAGGTAAGCTTACCAGTCTGTCTTGGTAAAATAACCAATAATTGGTAAAAAAAAAGTGAGATGGTAAAGGTACCAATGGACCTTGATAAAAACGCCGAGAATTTTTTTTCAGTGTACTGCTCCCATGCCACTCAAATTGCCTAAGAATGTTAGCGGGGATCTGATCGGAATGAGTGCAGAGCACTGGTAGCTAGACACTAAACCCAATTTTTTTCACCCGATACCTAGTTTGGCCAACTATTTAATCCAAGTCATACTTTGGCTGTGTTGCACCCGTCGCCCTTTAAGCCCCGCTATAAATAAGACAAACGTAATCGACACAACATGGAAATAGAGTGAGAGAAAGGACTCGCTTTGATAACGGCGCAGAGATACAACTATTCGTGCTTGATGGATGTCCGTGTTGTATCTGCAAAACTGAAGGCGCAATGCGTGAACTCGCAATGTTCCGCTTGATGCCGTCAATGGGGTATCACTTGGATTCGAGAGAAAAGGTAACAAAAGGTTCGATTACATCCCTCCTATCTTCGTCTGTCTTGCTAACGTAGCCCTTGAAGTACCACTACAAATAAGACAGACGGAACCAACACAACATGGGAACAGAGCAAAGGATATGTCGTGCGTTGATGACGGCGCAGGGATACAACTATTCGTGCTCAGGCCCTCCACATCCCACCTCGGGCCCTGGTACCAGTTTTAAGGTCCGGGCCCGAAGCACGGAGGGGGGGGGTGGTCCGAGGGGCATCCCCCGAGAAAAAATGGGTGGTTTTTCTACGAGGATTAAAAATAAACCAGTGGCACGGAATATAACAAAAGAATATGAACTATGAAAAACGATAATCCGGTTATCGGAACTTGGCTGTTTTGAAAACGCCTTCAAATGCGGTGTGATAACTCACGCATTCCGGAGAGTTCAAATAGTTGTATCATTGCGCCGTATGAATGTGACGGAAGATTACAATTGAAATAGCCTTCATGCAGGCTCGCCACATCCCATCTCATGTCCTGGTACCAGTTTTAAGTTCCGGGCCCCAAGCCTGGAGGGGGGGAGGTCCGAGGGGCATCCCCCGAGAAATTTTAGAATTTATTCGACTAATCGGACGCATTTTGAAGCTTCCATAAAGAATTTTTCCATCAATCTCTGTGGAATAATTTTTTTTTTTTTTTTTTTTTTTTTTTTTTTATTTTTTTTTTATACATATACTTTCAGCACAAAATACTTGCAAATTGTTGCATTCAAAACATCTGGAAAATTTTTATTTTTTTTTGGGGGGGGGCATAAGATACTATTTTCAGTTCCAAGAGGGCCAGGCCCCCCTGGACTCCCCCTTCGTTTGTCTATGGCAAGGGAGTTGAGCCATGAGCCATTGAAGTCGAGGATGACCAGACTGGAGACTCTTAGCATCTGATGACGGAAGAGAATGAAACGCAGTTACTTAAAATATCCCTCTGTACTGAAAATCTTGAAAATAGATAGAAATTTTCAAAGAGTTATACTTCTTTGAAAATTTAAGAAGAATTCTACAGTGTCTTAGCGTGTTTCTGAATATCTATTCACCTTTTGCGAAATTTTTCGGGTAAAGGAGGGGTATCCTTAAGGGTCTCTTTTGGGCCCACCCTGAAATTCCTCAACTCCGCGATTTTTTGGTCATTGAAGGTCTATATTTTACGGAATTCATAATGGTTTGGTCATTTTCGATCTATTTCGGGGTCTATCACTGGCCTAAACATGGGTCTGAAGGTCAATTTTGGCGAAAAATGCGGGTTTTCGGCATTCAAAGCGCTGTTTCATACCGATCCCTTCGGAGGACAAAAAATTCCTTCAAGTATGTTCATTAGGGATGTAAGAGAGTCACTTTGGCCAATTTTCTTTGATGTCAAACTTTGCGCTCATTGTTAAAATTTTTTTTTAGAATTTTCCTGTTTTTCATCGTTATTTAAAATGGCTTAAAAAAGCGACTCATCTTACGCCAGAGTTTAATTTTTGTGACAATAAATGGACGTGGGTGGTCAAAACCTTCCTCAAAAAACTTTTTTGGATTCAAAGCCCCCCAAAAAAGCCGGTGTTGCCATATTTCATTGCCTGAATTCACGGAAAACCTAGTATTTTAGTTTGGTATTTTAGTTAGTAGGAATGCCTGATGGCGCTCACCACAGATCTGGAATTTTTGCCCTATTTTTGGGCACTGTTTTAAGTTGAGCTTTAGTTCAAGCTGAACAAATTATGATGATTTAAAATTAAAAGTATAATAAAATTGGAACTTCCGATGGAAATTTTTTAATACGATCGACAGAAATGAAATTGTGTCGAACTTGATGAAAATCCGCCTATTTTTAGCCGGTTTTCATCCGAATCTTCCATGGCAAATTCTGCCGTGCAAAGGAGAAACACCGTATGAACCTTCAGGCGTTGCCAAATTTTCATTTATAAAACACGAATTTCCTGGTAAACTTATATATTTTTCTCTCAGATTATGTTGTTTACAATTTCACCTAAAGTTTCCTGCTTTTCTGCTTTTCTACTCCTGCGGACTTCCTTGTGATAGACTCGGAACGGTGCAGTGTAACACAATGGTTACAAACCATAGATCCTATACTGCTAGCGATGCGATGTGTGCTATGGAAAAACGCCGTATGAACCTTCAGGCGATCCCATATTTCCTTTGATAAAACACGAATTTCCTAGTAAATGTATGAATATTATTCTCCCAATTTTTCAGATTATGTTGTTAGCAATTTCACCTAAAGCTCCTGAAAATTTCAAGAAAAAATGTTCATAACTCTTCTCAAAGATGAACATTTTACTGAAGGAAATTTGGCATGTTTCGAATGCTCATACGGCGTTCTTCCTTAGCGCGACAGAATTACTAGGAGACTTTAACGATTGAGAAGGAAAGCAAAAATTGCGTTGATGCAAGACAAAGAATTAGTGCGCAAGAGATTGAATAGGTACTTTCCAGGCTGTCTTTAAAAAACACGCATTACGACTGCCTCCGAGCCACAAAATGGCGTGGCGTGAATTGCGATGTATCGATTGTTTTGCAATTTAAACGTATGGTAAAGAATCGATTATTAAGGTGTTCGTAGCGAACACCCTGTTCATCGATCATTTTCCATAGGTTTAAATGTCATAACAATCGGTATATCGCAAAGCACGCCACGCCACTGGAGCCACCCTAAAAAAAGAGTAATCTCCGGGTTTTCCGGACCTGTAGACACCCTTATCTAGGGAGAGCAGGCCCAGCTGTAGAATACCTCTTATCGATAGCCAGAAAAATCAATCGGCAGAAAAAATGTTTGAAGTCAACACTCAAATCCCGTCAGTCCGAACTCTGTATTGCGAAAGAACGTCCTATGAGCCCTCGGACGTTGCCAAAATTTGTGAGATAAAACGGGAATTTCGTGGGGAATTTGTGCCCCCCCCCCAAAAAAAAAAAAAATATTTGTTTATGAATTTTAATCGCGATTTCATCAAAACTATCTAAATATCTCAAGGAAAAATATTCATACCATACCTCACCAAGACATAATATTAATATTATCGTGATACGCACCGCTTTTGTTTGTGGAACTACGCAATTCACTTGGATGGCATTTAGCAAAAAGTAAACAGCGCGATTACAGTGTTTTCAAGATCGTGCACCTTCTTCTGTACGTTTAAAATTACTTATGATCTATGTACAGTGTTAGAA